GTATAATTTTGCTTGTAGTATCTTTTTTACGGATTAATAATTGTAATTATTAGATATAATTTTTAGCAATTTCAAAGTTTCAAGACGAAAAAAGTATTGAAATTTCAAAAAATAGAATTAAGTAAAACAAGAAAAAGCAAACTATTTGCTTATCTAGCAAATTATTAGACATTTTACATATTTTTAACGAATATTATTGATGAGCTATAATTCGAATTTTAAATATTTGAATTTATTTAAAATATTCAACTTTTAATTTTTTAAAATTTTAAATTTCAAACTTTTTATCCAAAATTTTTTAGCATTTTGTCAGCCAAAAAAAATGATTTCTCTCCATGTTAATTTAATCATAATGAATTTGTGATGACAAGTAGATGGCTTAGCTTTTCAATTAACTTTCCCTTGTAATTTGTGTTTTTTAAATTATCGACGTTATTTTTTCAAAAAAAAGTTCGCTATAATTGCAAGATATTATTTTTAGGCACACTTTGTAATCCAAAATGCAAATAACTTTCAATTTTCGTGCAACGTCTGATTTCCACTCGTTTTACTTACAAAGATTACTTGAGTTGACTTCCAAAACTTACTTATACTTTTCATTACTTTATAATTTTGATCTTTGACGGGCTTACTTTTCACTTGTTATTACACAAAGTTTTCTTCTTTCATTTTTGTCTATTCTACAGCATAATTTGAAAATTTACTTGCTTAATTTGAATAGAGTTAACATATATTTTGTATAGAATAATATTTATGAAATAAGTTTATTAATAAAGATTGTTTAGGGCAAAGTATCGAACAGCGAAAGTAATTGCGACATTGAAACGATCATTATTTTGACCTTTTTGCTGATAACACTGAATTTTAGCAATATTTTATCATTCAAAAATTGAATTTGAATTGATTAGTTTTATTAATTTCTATGAATTGATTTTTTAATAATAATATACTTAACACTTTATTATTTTCTGTACTAAAATGAAATACTTTTTAAACATTTTGTGAAATTACTTCAAGGCTTTTTACCATTTAAATTTTTGATAAAATGTTTTGAAAAATTCAAAATTTGTGTTATTTTGTTCAAAGAACCGTTTTTGTTATAATAATTTATCTCAAATTTTTATTGCATAAACCCAAAATATTTGAATATTTAGAAGAGTTTTGAATTCAATTTGAAATGAAATTTTTTTGAAAAATTTGTCATTTAGGAAAATTTTTCACTCAGAACTTTTTGTAATAATTTTTTGATACAAAATACTTTTGTCAGTCAGATATTTAAATTTGAATTTGGAAGAGTAATATGGATAATAATAGAAAAGGCTAAATGTTTGCAAACTAAAAATATTAATCATTTTTCTCATTTATACAAAATTTAAAAGGCATAATAAATTATTAATTATTATGTATAAATTATAGATCACATTGATGCATTTATATTTGTTGAAAGAACCATTGGTCAGTTTAGATTATTCGTTTATTTCTGTTTTATTATTTAGGCTATAATTTTAGTTATTTGCTATTTTTATTTTTACAAATCAGACATATTTTATACCAAATTTATTTGCTGAAATTATTTTGCTGTGTAAAGATTTATTTTTTGTAAATTCGACTGCGAGCAAACTTGCATGCAATTTAAATTTACTTATCGTTTATGGGAATTTTCAACCTTGAAAATGGTAATTAAATTTAAAAATAGATAAATTAATTCAAGATTGTAAAAGTTAATCTCAAAATAACTCATTTTACTTCTAATATTTGCTTTGAATTGGTCATTATTGTGATCAAATTATGCCCATCATTATGGAAGTCTTCATAAATTTTAATGATTTCTGTTATTATTTTTGTCTAATTTTATTCTTACTTCTAACTGAAGTATTTTAAGTAGTTTCTATCGCAGTTTTATTTAATTAAAATTCCATTTACAAATTACTAGTAAAATCAAGACAGAAATTATCATGAAAACGTTAAATAACCAAAGATAAACACATGAATTCAATGATTTGAAGGTCAGATCAGTCATGCAACAATAAGTAAACTTCTGAAATGGTAGTTAAAATAAAGTTAGTTGGAGTCATCAGTCAAATAGATCAAATTTCTAGGTCATCATCTTCTAGATCACACCTTTTAGCGTGATTTTAAGAATATACTGACTAATTGATTTTACGCATACATATTTGGATGCATTAACTTTTCCAGTTCTTGTAATTCTCAAGAATAAGTATAAAAATGCTTGAAATCAATGTTTTAAATTAATTTTCGCGCCTTTTAAAAATAAATTACTTATAATTAATTGTTGTTTAGTAATATTAATAATAATGT